TATTGTATAGTGCAGTGTTGGTGCGGTGTTGTGGGTTTTCAGTTCAATGTGTGGAGTGTGAAGGATGTGTGTTTGTGTTTATTTTCATGGTCATGAAGTGCACTGAAGATGGTGTTTGACTTCGTTGTATGAGGTCCAATGACAATAAAGTAAACTAACTAACTACCCAGTGTGAAGAGGAAACATGCCAGCAGTTTGGGGAGTGGCGTCAAGCTGGCCATGGCCCCCCAGCCCCCCCCCGAGATCAACCACAGCCCTGATGTGGCCCTCAATGAAATTGAGTTTGACACCCCTGTGTTAAAGGATGGGTGGTAAGGACTGAATGCGGTTTATCAACTGCAGGTTCCCTGTTTTCTGCACTACAATTGGAATTTGTGCCATAGTTCACCTGTCGTTTTGAATTGGAAGGCGCAGCAATCCCAGCGTTAAGTGCTAAAATTGGTTTGACATTGTTTTAAAACAGAAGGGGAAATGCTGTGCAGAAAACCTGCCTGCCCATTTCATACAATCACTGATTCTCCTCTGATCCTTCACCTCTCCACCAAGGTGTTTCCTTTCCCTCTTTTTTTATATCCATGACTATGCAATTGTACTCCCCAGTTTCTGTTGACTGATGAACCTTTCAGCTGCTCAGATTATGCACCTTCTTTAGCTTTCTAATACTATGTTGCACTGAAGATCCCTCCTGGGATATGTGTTGGGGGAAAAAATAGACCCCAATCCAAGCTGTTGCTTTATTCTTACCCAAATCATTGGTATTATGCACTTTTAAATATTTACAGTATATGCAACTAATTCAAATGTGCTCAGAGCTACTTATTTTTGATGGATGTCAAACTCCCTTTTCATACTACATTACATTATCACTATTATGTTATATGTTTATACCTCAGGCTGTGCCTTCCAAGTACACTGAATTATAAAATACCTAAACCCATTTTAGTGTAGTCTGGTATATAGAATGACCATGGAGGACCTAAGAAAGGGAGGATCTAGAAAGACAATCTGACTGTCACAACTACACAACTGAAGTTGCTTTCTTGAGGGAGGGTCTCTATGCCCCCCCCCCCCGAAGACAGTCCCAGATGTGGCCATAACCAGCTCTTCCTTGAACACCCCCTCCAAAAACATCCTATTCAAAAAGTCCTAAATTCAATATTCTGCACTGAATCTGCAGGATATCTGACATTTTGGCAATTCACTGTTGGTCAGAGTAGTTAGATTCTAATCGTTGACGTGTTTGCTTAAGCTTTGCTCATTATATTTTTCTGTAGATGATTTTTTTAAAAAAAAATCAGGACACAGGGAGGGAAAGATGAAGGAAGACAAGAAATTAAAGACAATTAAAACCCCACAAAAACGTATTATATCATATAAAAAACAAATCATTCAGTTTAATTTTAAAACAAATAATTAAACTTTTGATCACACAATGTAATATTCATCAGTCTTTCTATTATGTCACTAAAAAAATAGCTCAAAAGCAAATATCATATATATACATATATACATACACACACATACACACACACACACACACACAAGGATATGCACATATCAGTCAAAACTATTAATCTAGGCTGGTGCTATACTTGTAATGTAGATAATCTCTGCTCTCTTCCATGTTTGAGAAATCCATTATTCTGCATGTAGTGATACATTCCAGTTTCTAGTACATAAATCAAAAGTACACTTGCATTTTTAAAAGTAGAATGATCTTCATGACATCCATATGAACAATTTTATGGGTATCAAACCAAAACACCACATTACAGAACAAGCCCAGAAAAAAAGCGTGTCTTCTTCCACTTTATACTTCTAACATAAGTTAATAACTAATCCTTTTTAATTCTCTGGGGAGTTAGTAAATATGAAAAATAATCATTGTCAAATTAGACTTGTTTGAAGAGTGTAGGAAATGTGCTCAATAATTTAAAGACTTTTTGCCATTGATTTGCTAATCTAGGTTTTACTAACTCTTTACACCAGAGTCCTTGCAGATAATGGTAATTACTGAGATGGATCTCCATTAACTGCTTGTAAAGAGTAGAATAGATTCAGGATTATCTAAAGTATGTTCCAATAATGACAATAATTCAGGAGTTAGGGTACTGTAATCTACACTTCAGCAGAAAAAAATATAAGGAGAAGTATTATTAGTATTGAGGAATTATTGATCTAGTGGTTTAGTGGAATGAATCAGACACTGGTAGCCTATGTCCCTCATTCTCTTCTATTTGCTCCTCATAGTATCATTGGCATGGTAAACATTCAAACCAAGTTTTCAGTCTGAGAAAATTCAGAGAACAAATTAGACATTTTAAGCCTTGGGAAAACTAAAATCATTCATTGCATTTAGGCCAGCTCCCCTGTTGACTGAATTGGACCAAGAGATTTGTTTCACCGGCTCTGATGACATCACTGGACAACATCCTGAAGTAAAATCTCAGAAGCAAAGTTTCTCATGGACTCTCTACTATGAGAGATCTACTAAACCACCTCTGCCTAATTGATGGTTTATTCAAGAAACCACAACTGTAATATGAAATGGATATGCCAATTTCTTATATTTTCATGCTTGCCCATTTACAGTAAGTAAATCATCTTCAGTCTTTGCATTTTTGACTACATTCTCAGCTTTTTGGATGGAGCAAGCTCTATTTAACAGAAAGAGATTTAGTTCTGCAAAAAAGGGGGGGGAACATGCTTAAGGTGATGCTTGTAATTTGATTCCTCCTTATCTGTGATAAAGGTAAAACTATATAGGAGCTACAATGCAGAAAACTCATTGTACATCATAACTTCCAGATATTTCTTTCCTCATCAACGATCTAGTGAAGCAACAAACTCCTGCAAAAGTGAGCACAGAAACTTTCACTATTCTATGTAACTACTTTTAATACTACTATACTATGTAATTACGCACAATGGATATAGGGAACAGAAGTGTAATGTATATCAACAACACAATTGGACAAAGTGCCACTTGAATTACTTGGGGATTGAAACTCTTTGGGTTTTTTTCTTCTCTTTTAAAATGTTAAATACATTGGTCCTCCAATAAAGCTGAAGTTTTAGAACAGGGAAAAAGGAATATATCTTTAATACAGCACAAAATAAGTCTGTGAAATTCATTATCAAAAGGTATAATGACGGCCACTAATTTGAATGCATTTGGTTAGTCTATGAATCTAAGATTCAAATGGGTATCAGCCTGAGCCACAATTCTAGGACAGAAAAGTTAGTTTTCCTGCATACTCTTCACAAATGATTTGTCTTAGTTTTCTGGATGGATCCAAACAACTATGATCATGAAAAAGCCAAGGTTCAGCATGATAGGTGAACTCTTGCAGCCTATTTCACAGTAATAACTAAACAATAGCTTACAAGAAAGCAAACAATAAGTTATGGGAAATTACAGATTGTTTAACCTGAAGTTTCAAAGTCTTAGCTTACAAGTTAATTATAAATATTTCCTTTAACAACAGAGGCTTTGTTTTTTTAAATGGTTACAAGGCTTAAAAAAAAAGAATGATGTTTCCATTTAAAATGAGACTTCCATTTAAAAGAAAACATTTACTGTTGTTATGAAGGGTAACCTGCCTTGCTGCATAAAGTATATGTGAACTTCATTAAAAATGGTATAGAGCAACCTATGGTTTCAAATTGCATGCGGCTCTCAGGTTAGTTTCAAAATACCTCTATAAATAATCTGTTCAGATCTCTTGTAAAGTACCGGTACTTGCTTTCCCCTAGCCATTCCATTCAGCAAGGGAAGAAAAGATAACAGAAGAGGAAAAACTGATGATCTTAAAACTCAGACTGTAAATCTTCCTGCCACATTATGAGACCCACAGTACACCGACATACAGAAAGCAAAGCTTCCCCGTGTCCAATATGAAAAGGAAAACAGTGCTTCTCATTATAGGTGCAGATCTAAATTGATCAGTTAGTGGTTATATCCTGGCTGAGCTATAATTAAGAGCCAGTTTGGTCTAGAGGTTAAAATACCAGCCTAGAAATCAGGACATTGTGAGTTCTAGTCCCATGATAAGCATGCAAGCCAGCTGGATAAATTTGGGACCAGTCACAGTCACTCTGTCAGCCCAACTCACCTCACAGCATTGTTTTTTGTAGAGAAAATATGAGGAGGAAGGAGAACAATGTATGTTCTCCATCTTGATCTTGAGTTACTTATAAAGTAATAATAGTGAGATTTTTAAAAAAAAAATCTAAAAAAAGATTGTTTTAATCAGGAGATAGATTTAGCTTAATATCTGGATAAAATATGAATACATAAAGCTTCATATTTATTTAGAAAAAACTATTTCAGAATGTCTAAGATTGAGAACACAATATTTTTCTGTGGCTTATTAAAACAGCTATGTGATTCTGAAAACAGATGTGGTTGTTTAATGAATTCCAAATCAAATCAGTAGTCCATTCTTCAGACAAGCCATAATATGATTTATTTGGCACTGATGTAGATGCTAGTTTCATCAAATTCTTGGGAATGAAAGATCAATGGCATGACACTCATGAGATGAACTATAAAGAACATTATCTAAACCACATATAAACATGAGATTAAACCTATAGACTTAAATTATATGCAAAGCTTGGAATAGAAATATGGATCACATCATATCACATAAGCAATTACATAGTCACAGAAAGCCCAAATGCTTAGAAGGAAATGTTTTAATTCATAAATCAGTTATTTTAAAATTGCACTATATATTTGCACTAAGTAATTAAGTATATATCTGTTTTCCTTTTTATGCAGTAATAAATATACCCATAAGTGGCCATGTCATAGACTTTAGAAATATTTCTTTATAAGTAAATATTTTCAGGATTATATGGTTTATTTTATAGGTATTCCCACTGAAACTAAATCCCAAAATGAAGCTTTATTGTCATGTAAAGACAAATAAGCCATATGGTAATTTTATTTTGGCAGAACTTCAATTTGGAAGTAAATAATTAGGGATACATACATTCCTGCACCTGCTTTTCTAGACACCTAGAAAACAGATAAGAATTTAAAATGAACTAATATAAAATGTCATCCCGGCATTTAAGAATCTGAAAAACACCTTTCCCTTCTACATATTTCTTTTACAGTCCATACATTAAATTTGCATAGCATAATATTAAGATCCATTTTTATTAACTGCTATTATATGCGGAAGGGGAAATGTGAATTGCAACATGTTAAGGAGACAATATTTGTTTAGAAAAAGAACCAGGTACTCAGATCAATCTGACAACACTCTATGGATAGAAGAAAATAAATTCCCTGGTATAGGGCCAGACTAGATTGCTGTTCTTTACAGAGCTGAAGTCTTATTCATACAGATCTCAAAAAGACAGTTAGACATTTCTACATTCTTCACTGAGGTAAGTAGAGTCAATTGAAGTGAAGAGACTGAATGATCTTCTCAAGAAATGTTTCTGGAATATCTTATTGCGCAAGTAGTCACTGCACAGATTTACCCAGATACCAGTACTATGCAATTCATTTAAGATTAAACTAATCAGTGCTAATCAGAAAGACTCATAAATTATTTCTTCATCCACATCTTGATAACTGGCAGGTCATTTTTCCCCACTTTTTTAAACAAGATATTTACCTTTCAGTTCACATGAAAACAATGACAACATTCCCAATGTCTTCAATACATTAAATGTTGTTCTAATACAGAGGGAGATACACAATTCACAAAGGATCATGTTAACGGTCAGACAATCAACATAAAACTTTCAAGGGATTTATTGTACTAACTGCAACTCCTATTAATGTTACAGGGTACAATAAGCCACCATTTATCTTTATATTAACCCATAAAGGCCAATCCTCAGTACTAAAAGCATGCATTTTAAAGTTCTGCTCTGGTGCTACAATTGTTTAGGATGCTCTGGCAAAGGACACATGCGAGGGAAAAGAGAAGGAATGAAACTCACAGGGGTCTTCAGTTAAAAACCTAATTGTGTCCCATCATCTAGTGAAAACAGGTATTTGTAAAAGTGTCAGGAAAAAGCATCAAGCCTTGCTCAGAGGAATTCATGCAACATACGTGGGAAAAGATCTAGCAATACCTGGATACCTAGCAGAAAGGCAGAAACAAAGAAGAATCAAACCAAAAAGAATATCATGATCAAGTGATAGAGAATTTCCCCAAGATTTCAATGGGGATTTTTTTCCTCTTTCCCTAAATATATTTGGAGCCATTTATTCTGCTGAAATAGAAGATTCTAAGATTTAAAAAAAAAATATGTGTTTTTTTTTCTTTTTTCTTTTCTTTTTTTGTGAATAAGCGGAAATCTCTCCTTAAAGGACACACGTTGTACTTCGTTTACCAAGCGATGGGATTTTATTTTATTTATTTATTTATTTTGAAAAGGACCCCTCTTTTTAAAGGCTGCACAACGCGAGGTGGGCGCTCCTGCGTTCCCCAACCGGAGCTGCTTCACCGCAAACCAAGGCACCCAGGAGGAGCTGTGCTGGTGCAGGAGCGGCTGGCGGCGCTTACCTGTCCGAAGGAAACCCCTCTGAGGTGAAGTCGCAAAGGGCTTCAGGTGGGGCAGCCGAAGCCGTCCACCTCAACCCGTTCCTTGCGCTGAAACTGTGCGAAAAGCAAGACCGCCGCCTCCAGGATCGCTTCTGTCGCGTCTTGTAGCGCCCGAAGAGTTTTACTCCCCACCAACCATCCTTTTCTTCCTCGCCCCGCCCCTTTCTCCCTAATACGGTCAAAGCCTCGCCCACCACTCCGACTCTGGCTTCTAATTGGTCTCCTCTCTCTCCGGCTCCTCCCCCGCCTCCCGCTCGCCTTTGCCGCGGCCTCTTTTTCTCCCCTTCTTCCCCTTCCCGCCCCGTTTTCTTTTTGCCCGAGTCCGCGCAATGCTTTTCGGGACCTGTAGTTTTTCTAAGAAGCGGACTACAGGTCCCATGGGCTCATGCGATCGCCGGCTTAGTTCCGGACAACGCCTGGTGTGTGTGGTAACAACGGTGGCATCGGCATCGAGGGGGGAGAGAGAGAGAGAGAGAGAGAGAGAGACAGTCACAGAGGGAGAGAGGAGGACGCTTCTTTTCCGGCACGTACTTCCGGCAGGAGCGACCGGGGAACCTGCTCGGGAGTCCTAGAGGCTTCGCGGGTCAGGTGAAAGCGAGAAGTGAGGTAATGTGGCGGAAGAGGCCCCCTTCCTCTGTCTCTTCGGGTGTCGTTAAGGCAATGCCCGGAGGGGGAGGTCACTGGTAGATTTGCGTAAGGCCTGACCACCCCACAGAGGTTACGTCGACCTGTATGCGTAAGGGGGGTTCCAGCATCGGAGGGCTCGGTGCATTCGGGCCTAGCCCTTCTATGGGCGCCGCGAGAGAAAGTGAGGAGGTTGTGGGGGGCAGCGACTTGTCCTCCAGCAGACTGGAGGAATCTCCCCCCTTTTTTTCCTGCAGGTGCTCAAACCTTTGCAAGGGGAGAAGCAGCTTCTGGTACCTGAAAGGAGGATTTAGGTAGGGGGTACAAAGGGTGAATACGGGTCGGTAGTTGCTTGGATGAAGATGTCCGTCCGCCCTTCCGTTGTTGTGAGGAGAGTAAATATACATACATACATATTATATGGAGGGCGGGAAACGACAGCAACCTGTCTCATTGAAAGAGGGAGGATTAAAAACGGGGAGCATCTGCAGGAAGAAAGCTCAGCCCTTCTGATCTTGTTGGGCGAAGCTTGTCTTCCTGGGACCCTGATCGTGGGTCTCTTGGATGCCTTTGGACAGGCCTCAGTGGTGGAATGAAAACTCCCCTCGAACCCTGCTCTTTATAAAGGGCAGATAGATGGTTGTCTCCTCCGCCTGAGGGACTGTTTCAACCTGCCTTCCATTGAAGACAAAAAGGTACTTCAGCCAGAGCAGTGTATATATGATGCATCTGCACACACCCAAAATGCATGCCCATTCTTGGAAGGATGGGCTTGTTGGAGGAAAGGAAAAAATGGGAGCTGCTCAGGAAGAAAAACTTTGGTGTTTCTGCTTAGTAATAGTGAGGTATCTTGTCATATGACCATATCTCAGGGATTATATAATTCAAGAGAGTTATTGATGTTGTCCAGTTTTATGGGGATTTTCTCCTTTGGTCAGGAATAAGTATGTTTAAAGGAAACACACTGAAATACTTTTTGTTTGAATATAATCTTTTTTTCCTGAATCATGAAGTGCAGGCTAATGCTGATACTGGTACTATTAACATTAATTCATTCATAGACCCTTGTTCTGTATCCTGGATGTATTGCAGTTGTTTTTTAGTCAGGGTGAAACTTTAATGATCTACTTACAGAAGTGCTTGGGTTTGCAATCAATAGATTGGTATAATTATTCCATTATACATTGATGCAATATTTACATCAGTATCAAAATCGGACATGGGAGAGAACTTTTCTTGTCATAATGATGATGTCTTGTTCAAAACACCTAGGAGATTCTGTATTCAAATGTAATGGATGGCCAAAGCAGGAAAATGTGACATTTTTTTCGGTATACAGAAGGAAGACATTTTCATCTTGGTATTGTCATTCTTTCAAATACATCCAGCCGCCTTTGTACTTGGGAGACTAAAGGGCATAATGAATATAAAAAAAATTGAATGTGGCTGGTTAGAAGATATATTTAGGTCAGAGGTTTCCTACATCACAACAAACTGAGTCACATGAATTGTTTTGTTTTTGCAGTGCATATAAAAGTTATTTTTACACTGCACAGTTGGATTATTGCACTGCATTCTATATGGGGCTACCCTTGAGCATTCTGCAGCTACAGCTGTTGCAGGCAGTTTTGGCAGACTCAAGAATGGCCCCTGTAATACCACTGCTCCACGAGCTGCATTGGTTGCCAGTCTGCTTCTGGGTGCAGTTCAAATTGTTGGTGATCCTCTTTAAAGCCCTTCATGGCATGGATACTGGAGGGACTGTTTCATTCCACTGGGATTGGCTTGTACCACTCATGCTGGCAGAGAAAGGCATCCTGCGGGTCCTGTCGGCCCGATTATTTCAGCTGGCAAGGTCCAGGCTGTTGCTCCTGCCCTCTGGAACATCTCCCTTTCCCCTCCCTGATGTAAGTTTGGCCCCAACTCTTCTATGCTTTCATAAGGGCTTATAGGCATGTCCCTGACTTTTGGCTTGGGGCCCCAGAGGGGAAATAGCCCATGGAAGTGGTTGATAACAGATCCCACTCCTCGCAATGTTCCCCTGTTCTCCCCACTAATATTTGATTTTGATTTATGTAAGTCTAAATTGTGTATGTATTTAACTTATGGATATGTATATACTTTTATGACTAAGCACGTAGAATTACCTTACGGTAAGATGAGCAGCCAATACGTTTTATTTATGAATGAATGAATGAATGAATGAATGAATGAATGAATACTGTAGTCTATTTAGTGTATAATAATATTGTATCTAAAAAGCAAAGTACATACCTTAACTAAATTAATTTAAAATACTCTTGCTAAAAATGCCATCTGAGCATTGTTGGAGCCTTCAGTGAATTTTAACATTTTTTATTGGTGGAGTATCTTGATAAAAAATAATGCAGTATATTTAAAGCTCAATGAAGCAAGGCACAATAAAACAAGGCTAGAAAGATGGAGAGGAGCTAGAAACCTTGAGTTCTACTCCCACTTTAAGCATGAAAGCCAGCTGGATGACCTTGGGCCAGTCATTCTGTTTCAGCCCAACTAACCTGACAGGGTTGCTGTTGGTATGGAAAAAAGGAGGAGGAAAGTGATTTGGATATGTTCATCGCCTTATTTGTAATAATAATAAAGGGTGGGATATAAATATAAATAAAAATTTGAAAACTAGAAAGTGAAATACTTTAGACTGTTATAAGAAAAGAAAACATATATTGTATCAGTTTTTGTTACTTTAGTGAGGATTAAGAAAATAGATGTAAAATTATCTAATCAGATAAATTAGCTACACTAAGAAACTAGACTTTTGAAAATGGTTTAATTACAAGGGATCG